TTCTAAAATTTTCAGGTTGTCAATCAAGATGCAGACAAAGCAGAAAGCAAGAAGAGATCGAAACAAAGGGCTAAGATGAACGTCGATGAGAAAGGTACAGTAATGAGATCTATATTAGCCAAGAAACGAAGGAATGAATTATATTCTACATTCAACTTTTCCAGATTCGGACGTTATCGTTCATGGCTACATCAAGAAACTAGGCGGACCATTCACATCCGCTTGGCAAACACGTTATGGCAAATTGTATCCATCTCGACTGGAACTATATCCGGAGTCTCTCAGTGGAAAGCCGGAGGTATGCTATTTCGTCCCCCACCCCTCCCCACAAAAAAGCAAACATTCTTTATTCCAGCTGGTGTTTATGGACCAAATTGAAGATGTTTGTGCTGACTTACAAACTGTAAAAGGAGAAAATGCCATTGTCGTCAAATTGCGTGACGGGTTCAAGGAACCACGAATTAGTCTGACAAACTCGGTAAGTTCATAAAGCTTATAAATTTAGCGTTTAGTATAGTGCAATTGCGCTGCAGACAACATTTGCGCGTGAAAACAATGGCGATATGCACTTTACGCCATTTTTTGCGCGCAGGTCGCCAGCAAGTTGTCGGCATTTACAAGCTGGCACTTATTCCCGCGCAAATGTTGTGTCACCGCAAGGACATTAATCAAGCGCCAAATTTGCTCAACTATACAGGCTAGTAGATTCGGCGATATAAAAGTCTCCATGACAAAGACGGTCGCTTCAATGTTCAACGCGGCTGCGACTCGCATCATCACGGAAACTCATACGCGGCCGCACGCCTCGCGTACATAGACCACGACTTCGTCTTGGAGTAGCTTTTGCCTGAAAAGTGACCCGTGGAGAAGGGGCTAGGTTTACTTTATTTGCGAACATGGCGCTCGAACATCCTTCATAGTGGGGGCTTGTACTCCCGCGCACGCGTCGCTTACATGGGCAGCCGCCTTCGTCTGGAACTAGCTTTCAATGCACCTTCGGTGTCAA